TATTTATCCAAACTGAGGTCATTCAGGTAAGATCACAAAGATACATAACTGTTACTTAGAGACGCAGCGGCCTAAACTAGTGAAAATCCCTTTAAATCTGAGCCGTTGTTGTCTTTCGTTCCCTTCACTGAGCCCTGTGATGAATAAATAAAAAACAATCAGCTCATTAAAAAGTCACCCAAGCTCCGCAGAACTAGACCAGGAATTTGGACAAATTGTTACTGAATCTAACTTTTAGTTTGATTAAACATCACTGACGATTTAAGAAGATGAAGGTTTTCACTAAAGTAATGATGAAATCTTGTCATGGCAACAAGGGGATTGTTTTCAATAATGCTTTGTGTGAATATTTCCATTGAAGCATCCTTGATTGCATCATTGTGAACTTGCCCTTGAAAATAATCGGATTCCCTGAACAAACTAACCGACTTGGCAGACTGGATCGCTACTTTAGTGACACGACACATGTTTGCATCTGTGCAGCCGTGCATGCCTGTACACATAATGGCACCGTATGACTGTGAATTATTTATGGTACAACTAGAGCCCCAATCTTGCCCTCTAGTGAACAGTGAAATCCTTTACACACCTCTCTTCTACCCTTTAGCTCCATTCTGCAGCTCTTCTCAAAGGTTTGAGCTCATTTGTGAGCTTTATTATTAACTTCGTTGTGTGTGTGTGTGTGTGTGTGTGTGTGTGTGTGTGTGTGTGTGTGTGTGTGTGTGCAGGGCCGGAGTGGGACACGTTTTCAGCCCTGGAGTTTCAGACCCCAGACCGACCCACTTAATGAATTATTATTAAAATCATGTTAGAACTTTATATGTATAGTCTACAAAAGCACACTACTCGGTAAAGCCTTGTAATTCAGTGCAAGAAAGAGTTGCTTTACAATGTAGGTTTATTTGAACATCAGTGCACATCTCCAACATTGTTCTTTACAACACATTCTCTAACAATATAACAATCTACCTTCTGTTCAAACAGCTGTTCTGAGATTTTCAAACCTTTAAAATGAAATGACTCAGCACTCCCTTTCACACTTTTTCCAGTTTCCCTATACTCACCTGCACACAATTAAAATAATCATCTGTAAAGCTTTAGCACATTTGATATGGAAAACACATTTTTTGTAACCAATTAAAATATTTCTATGGCAAAGTAAGCAGGCTTATTTCATTTTACTTTCATTCTAATAGCGATCTGTTGTGGGCTTTGTGCATTTACTAATAAAAATACAACAGGTCCCTACTATTATTTGGACATTAAAATTATTATAATGAAACTAATGTTTGCTTGTTTGCACATGAGTTGGCTCACCTTCTATCCCAACAGGAGCAATACCCTCACTGCTGGCTCCTGGCTCTTCTTCTGACACTAAATCACAGTGTGTGAAAATGGTCACAATTCAGCATTAATTTTCCTTTTTTACACGCTTTCTGATCAATGCTGAATCATCTAGCATTTTAGAACACTTTCATATAGAGCCAGGATAGTTTTCATCATATAAATTTTAATAATATTCAGTTCACTGACTCAATAAGTAATCCTACCTACATGCCCGCTCTGGAATTGTGGGCTTCTGCCTGGTGCTTATTAGGCCTACTGGATCTTGTGTTTGACTCTGAGGTGCTACAAGACAGTTTGGTGGCATCAGTCACATCATACTGTTAACTATATTACATAACGTTATGTCATGACGCCATATAATTCATTATTGATGCTTAATTAACTTGAATGGTGATTTGCAGCCGGTAAAGTTTAACATCTTGACTTGCCTTACCTGTTTTATCTTCATTTGAAGTTAAAGACCGCAAGCTTGTTTGAGAAAAAAGGGTGCTCATTTTTGCACATTTAGCTTCATCTGTTTCCAGCGCGTTGCTCTTTTTAATTCTTGCCTTCTCCGCGCCACCCTTGCTCTTTCTACTTTCCATCTTTCCGTCAACTGCGTGGTCACGTGGTGCGCACAGGCGCATATAGGGGAAAAAGGAAAAAAAACGAGCTGCAGCCTGCAGGTAGAGACAGCCGGGAGGAGCGTATGAGATCAGCCCGGCGGCCTCAGTGCCATGACTGAACACCGGCACCAAAAAATAAAAATAAAATGATAAAAAACAAAAACGAGAGCACCGGCCCATGCGGCCCAAACATCGCGCGGCCCACCGGGAATTCTCCAGACCCTCCCGATTAGCCACTCCGGGCCTGTGTGTGTGTGTGTCCATTTCACCGGGGCCGGCCCTAAAGGAATGCTCTCTTCACCATTTCAGGATCAAAAAGAGTATCTGAACTGGGTATGAACTCAGAAACGGAGCGGTAGAGTTGCTCAGTGCAACCTGTGGTTAACTCTCACCGACTGGTTGTTTCTCAGTAGGAGATGACATCAGCAGATGTCCACAAACATCCGGCATTTGTAAAAGTGGAAGTTACCTTTGAAACAGAATGCGAGGAAAAGAAAATAAGCATCGTCGCTTCTGAACTCCCAACTCTGTGTAAGAGAGCAATTACTAATAATTTCCCATTTTTCTACATGAATCACTGAAAATGTGCTGAAACTCAAAACAGATTAAATCTTTATACCTGAAACTGTCTTTGCATAAACGTGCAACATTAGCTTGTATCACAAGCATGCGGTCAGATTTTCTAACTAACATAATCATCACCCTATTTTCTATTAGCAGACGTTTAAAGGACATTCAACAGCTCATGATGTTGGTCGGGTGTGCTGAGACGCCGCTCTATGACATCGCTGTTAACAATAACTGTCTGCCTGTTGCTTTAAAGCTGCAGCTCAGATTGTTTATGCTCCTTGCTGTTGTCGTGGTGATGCCTATGCTCTTCTTGCTGTCAGTCCAGCCCCTCGACCACCATGATCCTCCACCTGCAAAAGGAAAACTAGAGCTTCTAATCATTTACGAGGCTCACATTTTAGTGTATGACCCATAAAATACATGTAGGATAGGAGTGGATCTTCACTGCAAAAAGGAAGTCTAATTACCCTTCATGTGCAGCGTGTGAAGGTTATTCACCACATGTTAAATGCCATGGCACCCCAAACAAAGTTGCTAAATTCAATGAAATATCTAATTATCGCATTCACAGAAAATGTCACAAGAGCTTTTAAAGTAGTGCAGATGTGGCTTTCCTTCACGAAACAATGACCTATAAAAACAAAAATCCTTTAAAAAAAGGAAGTTTTTGATGATGAAGGGTGTTTAGTTCACATTCAAGGTTAGTTTAGAAAGCATTCATGGTGTCTGTCTAAAGAAAGACACATGTAGATTGGATTTTCCACTTCAGCACCAAAGTAAAGGTATAAGGATTCCCAGAAGCTGTGGGCAGACACCAACACCGGGCAGGGTGAGCTCAGCTTTAGACACTTTATTACTCTGCTGGCTGACAGTCAGAGGTTTGGACAATACAGGCTGAATTTAAAATGAGCATCAGTCTGAAGACAAAGGTAGAAGACAGGCCGTGGGGCAGCTCAAACCACACAAAGACAGAAAATGCCTGGCGGGGAATCCAGAGTAAACAAATAAACAATCATCAGCGAGCTAGACAGAACGGACTAATGAGCAGAGCCAACAATCTGGCCGAGAGGTGCAGATCAGGAGGGCGTCTGTAGCAGCAGCAGATGAGTAACAGGTGGCGGCCGTGCCTCTAACACACCCTTCACCAATCGTATGTGTGCGTGTGTGTGTGTGTGTGTGTGGCGGGTTAACGGGCTAAGGCAGTGAAGGAGCTAGATCTCTGACTTGTACGGCAGCACATTAGGGCCAAAGGAAGGGAAGGCAATTCAGTCAAAATCATGTCAAGAATAAAAGTTGCAGGCCAAGGAACCAGACTTTATTAGTTCTGTTGTTATTCTTATAATAATAATAATAATAATAATAATAATAATAATAATAATAATAATAATAATAATATAAATGGGGTCTGGGTCCCTGGGCTCTGCTGGGTCCCCGGCGGGGGAGGTCGCCCCAGGGTCCCGGGTCGCTGGGTCCCGGGCTCGGCCGGCTAGGGGGTGGGAGGCTGCGGGTGGGCCTGTGGGCTTGCCGCTGATGTCTCCCGGGATTCTGCCGGCTGCTGGTTGTGGCCCCCCGGGGCGATTCTCTGTGCCTCTCGAGGGGGGCGGGGGCCTTTCTGGTTGCAGTCTCCTTGGGGTTCCTGTGTTCTGGGGCAGCGCCTGGATCTCTGGGACTTGGAGCTCCCCCCGTCTCCTACGCATCTTTGGGGGGCAGATCTGTGGCCCCTCACACTCTCTATTGGACGCTCCTATAGAGAAACCTTACATAAACAAGCGTGTGTACACACACAGGTGCTCACATGGTGCTCTCATAAGTATGGACTTGGGCACGTTCAACACATGTCTTAAGACTATGGTTGGCACTTAATGCACTGTGATTTATTAGCATGTGATTGTTCAGTTAAACAATGTTGATTATGTATTTCTTCATCAAGTTGACACAGTGATAGCTTGATCTTGTTGTATTGTTGTTGTGTCCCATTTTTTTTGCTTTTTTTTTTCTCTTGTCTCTTTCTGCAGGTCTAGAAGTAGACTCTTGTTCATTATTGTTTATTTTTGTGTAACCCTAGCCGTGTGTGTGCACTCAGGAAATTATTTTAAAACACATTTGGATGTGTTAAGTCACCGTTTAAGGAAGGCGTTGTGGGTGTTGTAGATCCTTACGTTAATGCTGGTTTAGTTGTTTAATCGGTTTTAATAAATAAAAAAGCTTTTTCCTTTTTGCTAGTTTTAGACTTTCTCCATGTTCTGACTCTCCTGGACATAATGAGCATATTTTCAATTCAATTCAATTCAAAAATACTTTATTAATCCCAGAGGGAATTTGTTTGATTTCTTGACATTTTGATCCATTTTCCTCCAAATGTGTTTTTTATAGAGGTGGTATAGTCCTGTCTAAACAGAATCAAAATCTTGAAGGATCAGAAATGTAAACTTTCAGGAACTTTCTCATGGTTTTGCATTTATTCTGTTTTCTCTGCAGTGCTCTTTGGTCAGTTCGTGGTGTTCCAGACGCTGCCCACTGATGTGGTTGAGATCTATGATGGACCCTCAGCAGATTCAGCCCTTCTTTCATCCATATATGGATCTCACTCAGGTAAAAACAAAAGGCAGCTCTGACCTCGAAGCCTGGCCATGTGTTTTATTTACTCTAGCTCGTAGGTGTGAGCTGTTTTCAGAGCTCAAGGACAGAATCAAATTTAACAGGTAAGAGCGCACGGACCAGCTGTCCTCAGCAGCATTTTATACACAAAATCTGATGTTAAAATATGATCAGCTCCCCCTTCATACCATTCTTTTACATTGTTCCATTATGCATTAATCACAGTAGTAAACCAGTAAAATCCTCATTACAGTAGCACAAGAAAACAAGCTGGTTTCATTCAGCTTTGTCCAGCAGTGTTTATAAACCACAGCAATAAATGACACCTGTTATTCCAGCCTGCTAACTTGTAGAATAAATGCTTTTATTAGTTTGGACTCCATATTACTCCAACTGAAGCTTACTAAGAAGGGATGTCACAATAATTAATAATAATAGGCTCAGTCTTCTAGTTGCATCACTTTGAAGGTTTTTTTTTTCCAAGAAGACTTCCAGACTATATAAAGCTACTGGATGCTGCAGATGACTCAAAGCTAAATTTTGAATGTCAGTCATTGCTGATAAATGCTCTTTATTTAAGTGCCGCTGTAAACAAGCAGCTTATACACGACCTATAAACACCAGTTGGTTATAATTAAATATCCGGCCATGTTTATTAATGACATTTAAAACTTTTATTGATACAGTTTGGAACTCGGCAGCCCTTAAAGGTGGTCTGAACCATTTTAATTGCATGACAAGTAAATGAAAACACACAAACTGAAGGATGATGTCATAAGTTGAGCAGCTTAAAGGTGAAACTTGATGGATTTATAACATGGAGCTCTCAACATATCGGCTAAACCTAATCCCTGAAGGTCAGCAGTACCGGTACCAGTAGCATCCCAGTTCAGTACCAATATGTAAATATGTTTGATCATGTTTCTGAGTCAAATCCTTAGTTTGGATTCAAACATCTTTACAAAATTAATGAATACTTCTCGTGGTCACAGTTTCACAGACAGTTAGGATACTTGTGTCTTTTGTTAATTATGTGATTTATTAGTTTAGTTAAAGGCCAAGTTCACTGAGAAAGATGATCATCTCTCTGTGTTTTACAAAATAACATTCATAGACTCACCCATCTTGACTCACGAGGGGGGAGGCTGTTGTTGGTTTAGCGTCCAGGAAACAGCGAAAAACGTCTCGGCTAGTAGAAGCTAACTGTTAGCATTAGCAACTCCACCACACCGCAGAACTCCTCCAGGCTTGTGTTGTTTTATGGAGAGAAAGAGTCAGTGGTAGAGTCGTGTTGCTGTTAGCCAATCAGAGGAGAGATGTCTGAATATCGGGAAATAAGACCCTAAAACTGCCATGTTCAGGTCACCTCTGATGTTTTAATTCCTCAAACAGGAGCATAACAGCTCTTTTTCCCACTGAGATCGACTCTCAAGACATTCATTCATTCTAGAGATGTGTGGAAAATGAGTGAACTTGGTCTTTAAGAGGCCCAAACTTGTAAAATTTGTAAAAGTGCACAATTTAGAAAAACTTGTTTAAAAATTTCTTTGAATTTCTTATTCAGGTGAGACTCTTCCTTTGAGTTCAGGAAACAAGATCACCCTCAAGTTCACCACAAACGGAACTGAAACAGCCAAGGGATTTCATTTTGTTTACCAAGGTCGGTCTGGTTGAATTTTTTTTTCCCTTTGATGTTTTCAAATATTCAAACATATCTAATGCCTTGCTGATACTTCATCCTGGTATAAAGAGGGCCAGAGGATGAGGCTAGGCGTGAGTTTGGAGAGCAGAATGGTGTGAGGTCAAACAGCTGGTCCTGGAACAGCAGATGAAGAGCCTAATAAAGCACAGGAAGACTCGTGGGGCTCTCCGCCTGCTTTGTCCTCTTATCCCTGTTGCCTGTCCGTCTAACCCACCCCTCCTTTCTTTGGCTTTCTTCCTCTCACTCTTGATACGTCCCCCTTTTATCCCTAGCTGTACCTCGGACAAGCGCCACTCAGTGTAGCTCAGTCCCTGAGCCCCGATTTGGGAAGCGGATAGGGAATGACTTTGGCATTGGGATGGCGGTGCTGTTTGAATGCAATCCAGGCTACACACTCCACGGCTCCACTGCCATTAGGTGCGAGGCCGTGCCCAATGCTCTGGCCCAGTGGAATGGCACGGTGCCCACATGTGTCGGTAAGCATCCTCATCCTCCAAAACCTGCCGTACACCCTGCATGCTCACACACACACATTCACAGTTTCAGAAACGAGGAGCAGGTGCAGGAACACAGTTGGTGTCTGGTGATCCTTTGCTTTACCTTGTCACACACCCAAACCTGACTCATTTCTGGTCTTGATAGATCAGACAAGATGATAAAGGGTGGTGCAAACAGATCAACAACGTGCCAGAGAAACGTCTTGCATAGACAGCAGGCCGATGATGGCTTGTGCTCTACAGGGTTGGGTCAAGAGGCAGCCAGTAATACTACACGGGCTGATTCACCACACAGCTGTGGATGTTTTATTTTTCTTTACTCTCTGAGAAATAATGATAGCTTGAACATTTCAAAAACGACGTAATCGTGACAGCTAAATTGTCAGTTGTGGATTGTTTTATTTATTTATCTATTTTTTCCCTACTGCAGACAGGTAGTCTAGATAAATGTCACAAGCATCCAAAAATCTCTTATTCTCATTTCAGCTCCTAAATTGTCATTTTTTTGACTGAAAGGATAAAAGGTACCTACATAAAAGTAATGGTTACTATAAAATTAGAAAACTGTTTCAGAGCTCAAAGAGAAACGCCCACAATGATTTCTTTGAAGGATAATAAAATTACAGATGAAAAATAGAGCCTATCACAGCAAAGTAAAGCCTGTTCAGAGTAAACATTTGCTCCTGAGGCTGAAGAGTGCAGACCGACACGGGCAGATGTTTGTGACCGACAAAGATACACCAGAAGAAACCAGCGTCAGGCTGCAAACTTCAAAGCTGTGGTGTGTACAGCGACATTATTAAGAGGAGGAGAAGAACGACTAGAGGTCCCTCTCCTCTTCTGGAAGAAGCTGGAAGCCTCACCTCATGTTGCACATGTGCACACTAACCCTGGTGCCACACTGGAGGCATCTGTGGCGCGGAGCGGCAACGGAGCAGTTTACTTGCGTACTTTGCTGCATGCCAATCCACACCGGGGGAGTCTCAGCTGCAGAGTGGCCTCTCCGCCATCCTCCTTGCCAGATTCGTAAGATCACAAATGTCCTTGAGACTTCAAAGGTCACAGTTTGTTTGTGCCATCTACCATTAAACTCAACAGAAGAAGACGTAGATCCCGTTTGTTATCACAGTTAGATGTCATACATGAGGATGTTGTTCTCCACTGCCAGGATTAAAGCCATGAATAACACACTTCTCAATATACACTGGGAGGAAATAAGCCGTCAGGTCACATGTTTTGACATAACCTACATAGATAAGAAATCACATCGCTGGAATAGTCTTTTATTGAGAACATTACCAGACGTTTTACACTAAAACCGTGTGTGATTTCCCGTCTCGAACAATGTTAACCGTGGAAATTGGCATGTCCCAGAATCGACTAACGACAAAAATAGAACCCAAGCCTTTCTTCAGCGGTGCAGCGTGCTGCATCTGGGATGCGCCACGGCCAGTTTGGACCAACCCATCAACTATAATGGATTCTATTTGAAGCAGTAACGTTCCGCTGCCTCCTGTGTGAAGTCGGGGTAATAGTGCTGTAGCACTAATGAAGGGCTGCTGTGGCCACAGGTTTTTTACATGTTCCTGCTCACTTGATTAATCAAATTTCAAGCGTTCAAGCAAGGAAACATGTGAAACAAGCAGGAAAGCGGTACACAAGAGTATTCCTAACTCTATAACTCTAACTAACTCTAAAACAAGAGTCTGATGTTACGACCCAGCGTGTGAGGCCGTAACATGAACATTAAAATGTTTTAACAGGCAGAAGCTCTGGAGGAGATCTCTATGTGTGATTGAGCTGGTGTCTTAGATGCACTGCACCCACAGGTGCACCCACAGTGTGATTGCAGGCTGCACACAGCCAGACCAGCAATGAGGCAGAGACATCCCAGGTAGCCTATCAGCCAGTTGCACTGGCACATGAATATTTGTTTGCCTGTAGGATGGGCGCTTTGTTTCTCCCAGTGGCAGAACCACATGATGCTTAGTACTGGAAGCTTAGGGGGTGCTGAGCACTCTGATCTCTGTTGGAGCGGGGTGGGGGATCCGCTCTGTTGCTGTGAGGAAGGAGGACTTCCAAAAATTGATTTTGGGTTGCTGAAGTCCATTTAAGGGATTCTTCAGCACCCCTAAAATGGGCTAAAACACCTATGGTCTGATATAGCGTAGAATTGAAAGCTACGCTGAACACTTTGCTCCAACACACAGCCGTTGAATCCCTATTCATTCCCCTCCCTCCTCTTCCACACTTAGCTTGAAGTCTACAGACTGATAGACTATTCAATGCAGATGGAATTAGCATTCAAGCTAGGCTGGTGTGCTAAGCTGACCCCCGTAGTGCATGCTGGGTACTGGGATGCATTCTCATTGATTGACAGCTCCCTCTTGGGAATAAGCAATTCTATTGGTCAACACTCTAGGCGCGTGTTAGTCATGAGGCCAGGGGAGGGGCTTAGAGGAAACAAAGATTCTGAATGTTTATATCGTAGAACAGGATCAGATGGTCTAATTTAATCCTGTAGCGGAGCTAACATTAACCACTCATCCTTCAAAAATCCTGTTAGGTATTTCAGATCTGCTACAGGAGGCATATTTAATATTTGGTCACTTCAAATATCAATAATCTTTGACCAACGGTACTTAACACTCTACTGCATATACTTCAGAAGGTAAAGCCTGTTCTAATTTACACTTTACAACTCATTAAAAAGTGTGGCATTGTGAAAGTGAAGAACCTGCAAAGAGAATAATCACCAGACTGTACAGTTCTCCCCAGCCTTGAGGAGCTTCATAAAGAATTGACCGTATTGTTCAGCTGTGGTGGCCTCAGTGGTCTGACAAACACAAAGGTCCTGAAGCTCAGCTGCAGCCTTCCTGCCTGGAGTATAATGTCCTTCTGCATGTATGGATATACTCAAGCTACTTCAGCTTCCTTTCACAGGCTCAGAAACATGCATGCTTGGTTAACTCGTGATGCTAAATTGACTGTAGGAGGGGGTGAGCATGCATGGTCGTTCTGATCCAAGAGTTGGACCCTGAACCGATTGAAGCAAAGTGTGAAAAATAAATGAATACACAACATTAGCAACAATACTGATGTGATTTACACCCGACAGGTTTCAAAGCATTGATGCGGTTTAATGCTGCTACTGTGTTCTTTATATGGACACAAGATGTTTTCACATATAGCAGCTGTGGCCTGAAGAACATGCTTTTCTGGCCTGTAGCATCAAATTAAATAAGTATTATAACCATCCAGGGTGGCGTAGCGCTATTTTGTGGTATCCTGTCCAAAAGTGCATTTACTATTGTGTTTGTCTTGTGTTTTTTGAATTTAAGAGACTTTTTAACACGGGCACTTTTGTCCCTCATTATATTCCACCTCTTCATGCGCTCTGAACCCACCTTTCCCATCATTTCCGTCCACGAGTAAAACGCTTGCTGCGTATCTTTTTGCTCCTCCAGTCCTGGGTGAATAAAACGTTCATATTTCTAGAGTTTTCCACACGGGATTCTTCGAGCTGCTCCATGTCTGTTGCTTGATATCTTTATTTTTTTGAGAGCCCAAATGACTGTGCTGTTGACGAAAGCTGACCAATCACAGGCTTGCATTGTGCGTCTCATTGGATGGATGTGTAGAGAAGTGGGCTCAACTCCGTTCGTCTTTACGAGTCTGCTGGAGAGCCCACACAAGGACGCATGATGGCGTTCCATGTCTCCTTCCTGACGCAGACGGAGAAGTATAAACTAGGCTGAAGGATTCCTCCGGAGGAGCTGGCCCAAGTGGCTGGGGAGAGGGAAGTCTGGGCCTCTCTGCTTAGGCTGCTGCCCCTGCAACCCGACCCCTCATGAGCAGAACAGGATGGATGGATGCATTTTTGTAAATTTTTTCTTTGTGTAACTTCATGATCCATTACTTTGTTCTTTTTTTAACGCAGCACAGTAATAAAATAACTGTATACCTTGAAACTGACATGGTTCGGCCAGCAACTCTAGCCATCATTAGAGCTTGCCGATGTTGGTGGCATCACTTCTGTTTATCCAGACTGGGACGGTACATGGATCATAAACACAGAACAACAAAACTACAAAAGATGAATCAAAGAAGTGACAGAAATAAGAAGACATAAACACAAAACCATAAACACATTGGATCACATATGGGGCAGTTTCATCGAAGGACACGGGCCGTAGAGGGCGACACCGTCCTCTGCTGTCCGCGGATAAATGGAAGTGATGCCACCAACGCCGGCGAGCTCTGATGATGGCTAATGTCGCTGGCCGAACCATGTCAGTTTCAAGGTAAACAACTATTTTATTGCTGGGCTGTTTTTACTACTGTGTTAAGAACAGAACTAATTATTGGAATGGATGGGTGGATGGAACCAAATAGCATATGTAGAGGTACATACCACAAAAGTTACAAATCCCACAATGCACCGGGACACACAGTGGTGTCACAAGGCTCCTCCTCTCATCCACAGTAGCTGTCATGAAGTGGGGGAGGACTCTGAAAACTGGTGAAAGGCTGAGGCGCCACTGCTCATTTTATGGTAAAACACAATGAGCACACATCGTTTTGTTAAATATAAGAACATCTAATTTGAACCTCTAAGGTTTGGTGCTGTAGAGGAAAAACCCGATGGGAGTCTGAAGTCCAACAGCTGCAGTCATTCAGCTCCAATGCTCCTGCCCCACCCACGAGCTGCTCAGATGATCTCATCAGAACAGATCTATGAGCTGCATCCCACAGGAGTCGTCTCACCGATGCTCCTTCATTCAGTCCTGAGAACCTTCACAGCCACATATGGATGAAGTTGAGCGAAGAAAACATGTCAGATGTGTGATCTGGGCTTTAATCAGCGCTACGGGCTTCTGATTCACTTCATATTGATCTACATTTATTTGTAATGTACCTCCTAATATTTAAAGCTGCTGCCCACATTTGGGTTTTCATTGAAGGAGTTTAAAACAGTTTTGGCCTTTTGTAAAATGTTTTCATTAGAAATATCCTGGAAAAAATACTGGAAAGAAAACACAACTGATGCAACAAGGCTAACGAACACAGACTGTTGGTGATTAGTTTGAGGACATTTTGGATATTTCAGTTGGAAGTCTGTGACTTATAAAATAAATACAATTATTGTGAAATATGTATTTTCTTTATAACCTCTTTATTCCCTATATGGCCCTTAAGCTCTCTGTAAGGCCCTAAAGGATTCACACGACTACTGTAATGGCTCTAAGGATAATCTTATCAGAAAATCCTACCATGGGTGGTGTGTTGAGAGTACTCTGCTCTGCTCGGAAGTATATCAGCACAACGCTGATCTTAAATCTAGGTTTTCAAACATGTTGGATCGTCATGGTCTGATTATCAGGAACAAATGAGCGTGCAGCCTGTTGAATGTGATGTCTAGCCAAGGTGCTGCACACCACACACAGGGCCAGATTAAGATTGTAAGGGCCCCTGGGCACAAAGTGCTCAAAGCCCCCCACCCCCTTCCTCATCACTCCACAACACCCAATAGCCCATGCTTGGGAACTGTTGCCTTAAAGCACCAGATGCTAAATGGAAAGTAAACGCCATATGAAAGAGTTTTCCTTCAACATAACAAATAAATAAATGTCATTAATATGAATACTACTACTACTACTGCTACTAATTGTAATAAAAATTTGAGATAGCTGTGTTTATTGTAGAAATGATGTTTCTTGGACTGATACAGGACCATAAAATCTGCTGGAAATCCAAAATGAAGTTAGATAAAAACTGGAAAAGACAGTTGCAGTATTTGATAAAACAGACTCAGCTCCTTCTGTATTCACCTTTAATGTTACCTTATATTGTTTTTGTTGTAACACTATCAAGCCATTATGTTTATTTCAAAAAGATAGAAACCTGAATAGTTCCCATTTGGATTTTGGAGAGCACACAAACTCAGTGTTTTGGAGGGGGCCTCCGAGTCCATTTTACCTTGAGCTCATGAGCTACTCTAACTAAGCAGCTCAATGCAATTTATAGACAGCAAATTGTAAAGAGTAGAGTGCCTCAGCCACGGCAGAGAGGTGAAATCACTGGAGTACTGGTTATGAGCTCCGCTGAGGCGGGGGGCGTCAGACACGAGTAAAAGACATTCAGTAGAAATAAACAATTGCGTCTTAGTTATGTAACTGTGTTCATGCGCAGGTCAGCAAGAAGCTCTGGAGTGCATCAATAATCAGCGCTCTGCATAGCTGAGGAGATGCTGAAGCGAGCGAGAGAGAGGTGCACAGACTTGAGAAAAGGGTGGAGTAACTCCACATCTAAAATAAAGTCTTTTAATTGATCATCTCAGTGGTGTGTGTCGTGCTCGATAGCTGAGTCAGTTACTGTATGATTAATGTCTCCCTGATGTTTTTCTGTTAGACCTCTTTTATTTCCCTTCCTTGGGCTGCTCACATGGGCCCCTGGGCCTGTGCCCATAATACCCATCAGCTAATTCGGCCTTGACCACACACTGCAGGACCAGAACTCACAAAGGTTCACAATGTGCTGCAGCTGATTTAACAGGCATTAACAAATGTTCACCGTGGACTGTGACACATTTTTGTTTCTATTGACAATATTTAAAATGTAAATGTTATGTAAATCAGAACTATTTGAAACGTGGCTCGACAAATAAAAAAATACATATTCTTACCTGAGGGTCCATGTGGCCTTAGGACCTTTGCTATCACACCTTAGCTTCGTATGCAGAACCATGCCATGTTTGCATGTAGATGCACACACACACACACACACACACACACACACACACACACACACACACACACACACACACACACACACACACACACACACACACACCCTCTTACCATGAGCATCTAGACAGACTAGGGCCAGTTTTAGGATGAAGAAAAGCAGAACCTATTGAAAAAAGGCCTCGTGCCAGGAAGCTAATAATCCAAAATGGTAAGTGCAGGAGTTTTCAGCGGAGGGTTCATCTGAGTTTCCTGGCAAGTCGTAGGGAATGACTATAGCACTCTGTTTCGTTTTTAACAGGGTGATTTTTTATTTCCAGTCGGAGTCTGGCTGCTGCATCTCCCACAGTGACGGTGTACTCATTCAGAATATAAGACATAATAATACAGAAGCCTGAGGGGGGAACACAATGCTAAATTACTCAAGTGTTCTTTAGAGTTGATGACAGCATCAGTCTGTTTCAGGAGACAGAGCTCGATTTCCTCAGCCCGCTGTGATTGACCTGGCTTCCCACACAACACTGGTTTGTATCAATCTGACAAGTTCGGAGCTGTTGAAATTTAGAGTTTTGAAGGTGAGCTGATGCAGCTTTCTGTGCTGACACAATCAGCTTCACCTAGGTTGACTGTACAGTGTTCAAAAGTTATTTTATCAAGTGTTTTTGGCTCGAGTAAATCAGTGTTTGGCTACAAATCTAGACTAGAAAGTTGCTTTACATCGTCTTTGGTTGAGGGTCGGGTATGAAAAAAGATTATGAAGAACTTGTAGCTTTTTTTATCATCATGGTCATGTTCTGTGTCCCCTTGGTCCCCAGCCCCCTCCTGTTTGTCCTCTGCGTTCTCCTCATGTGTCTCCTGGTGTTTCCCAGCTTCTCAGGTCTCCCCCAGTCACCCCTCTGTAGTTTTATTTGGGCTGCAGGGTGGCGCAGTTGTTAGCACTGTTGCCTCGTAGCACAAAGGTTGCAGGTTTGAAACTCGGCTGCGGCCTTTCTGCGTGGCGTTGCGTGTTCTCCCCATGTATGCGTGGGTTTCCTCCGGGTACTCCGGTTTCCCCCACAGATCACAACATGCCCTATAAGTTATAAATGGTAAGTTGCTTTGGATAAAAGCGTCTGCCAAATAAATAAACATAAACATTTTCTATAGGTTGAGCTTTTCATGTTATTAGTTCCCCTTAGTGTTTGTGTCCTTCCCCACTTGTTAATTAGGCCCTGTCCACACGTAGCTGGGGATCTGCCAAAACGTAGATATTTTTCTACATTTTGGCCTGTCATCCACACGAAAATAGAGTTTTTTCACACTTTTTAAAAACTCCGGCCAAAATGAAGATCTGCGTTTTCTCTGTTTTGGGTGTCTGCGTGTGGACAGACAAAACCGGAGTTTTAAGGTCTGCAACGTCACTTTCCGCGACAAAAAAATGCTGACATCACGTGTGCAACCTGTGTTTACACTAGCCGACAGCATGGAGGCCCTCAGAGCTGCGCTCGCTTTATCAATTGTCCAAGCGCTTTTTGCTTGTTTGTTTTTGCAAGCGGAATTACTGCTCCTTGCGGAAGACCACAGACGAAGGACGAGGTTAAGAACGGGGGAAGTACTGCCCCCTACAGGTCTGGCATGTCCTTACAATGTAGTTATCTGGGTACGTGTGGACAGTTTTTTTTTAAACAAGGTGGTGTGGATGCAAGTTTTTGGAGGGGCGGATATTCGTTTTTAAAAAAAAACCCGGCTACGTGTGGACTAGGCCTTAGTCTCCCTTACTCCTCTTGTCATTAGTTGTTTATCTTTGCCCTTAGTTTCTAGGTTTAGTTATTTAGTGTTTTTATAGGTTATGTTATCTTCTCCTCTGCTTGGTTTTTCCCTTCCCATTTAGTTAATTGATTTCACCTGTCCTCCCTCTAGGCCTCACTCCTCACACCTGTCACCTGTTCCCCTGATTGCTTCCCTCTGTGTTAAAAGCCTGTCTTGTCCTTCAGTGTTTGTTGGGTCATTGTCATATGTGTTGCGTTGTTCGTTCTCCTCTCGAGTCTCTCCGAGTCCATGCTCAGTTGTGAGCTTTGTTAATTTTGAGTTTTCAAGTTTTTGAGTGTTAGTCTTATTTTGTGCTTGGGACTTTTCAGCACATCCTACTTAAATAAAGGAATTGTTTTTTCTTAAAACCTCTCCTGCCTTTGAGTCGTTCTGGGTACTTCTGCATCCTGGGTCCAACCTCCTCTCCTGAACGTTAGTGATGGAATGATGATACCTCAAGGAGTGTATTGACACACTAGCCAAACTGTGTCGGCACTGTATTGACACTGTGTTGGTCACTCAATAGCGACACCTGCAGTATTTCTAAAATCATTGCAGGTAAATAAGATGGAAAAGGTTACATGCTGCAAACCCACACCAGGTGTGCAAGATTTAATTTCCTGTAATCAAAATATTATATCATTATGCAATTTAATTTACTCAATTTGTTAAGTTCTTTATGAAAGGAGTTTAACATTTGCTTGTAACCTTTGTGTAAATGCTACAATGAGTTGGCATGTTAAATCTTCTGAATGTGTCTAATAAAAATCAGAAGTAAAAGTTTTAACTTGTGTAAATGTGTTAACCTCTGTGTTAGATCATACAAAATAAAAGACTAAATATGGATTCATTTATGCATTTTTATTGAGGAACAAAAGTTTGTGCAGTAAGTTTGCTCCAAGGCGATTTCTCCTCTTAGACACCAGTTCCCCTGCCTTAGAAAACACTCTTTCACAGGGTACAGATGAAGATGGTGTGCATAAGAATTGAAGTGCGAGTTGATAAAGGTGTGGATATAAATTCTGGTTATTTTTCCAATATTGTAATGGGTCTTGTGTTCTTGGTGCATTTCTTTCAGCCAGGTAGCGTTGGACTTCAATTATGGAATTGGCTGTAGTATTAGAGGTCATCCTGCTCTCCTCAACCTCCATATCAAGGTGCCTCCAGAGATTGTGTCCTAACAAATAAATTGGAAATAAGTCTGTTAATCATTGGTTTACTATCACATGACAAACTTCCGCAGAAATAAACAAATATTCACAAAGAAATGTGTTTTCATACCTGAACTGTGTTCTGATCCATGTGAAGTGCTAGGCTCCTCTACTGCTGGGTCAGGCTCATGGCTCCTCATTTCAGCAGCACACTCTGACTTCAGTCTCTTGACAGCTTCAGTTGCTTTCAGTGGACTAAAAAAGCCAGCAGTTTTAAACCTGGGGTCCAACAATGTTGCCAGTGACATCACACTGAGCGATTCCATGTTGCAGATGGACTCGGTTAGCCGCTTTGACAGATTTTCAGCCAGCTGTTTAGCAGTGGGTTTTGTCACCGTTGAAGATTGATGTTGAAGCTCAATGTGGATCATTCTCATCAATGGAATAACCTTTGACCCCGAGACTCTTTTTTCCTCAGAGAGTTCTCTTGTGGCTTGGTAAAAAGGAGCAAGCACCCTGAGCATCTCTTCAATGATTTCAAATTCTTCTGGAGTCAGTGGAGTGAGATCAGTTTTTAATGAGGCCAGTGACACCCAGACTGCCTCCTTCTGCTCAGTCAATCTCTCCAGCATGTGGTAGGTGCTGTTCCATTGTGTCGGCACCTCATTTATTAATTTATGCAATGGTGTTCCCAGCTGTTGCTGCATTTGAGTGAGCTTTTCCTTGGCCATGGTGCTTGATCGAAAGTATGTCACAATTTGCCGTGCTTTGTTGCGTAGTTCTGTTAGTGTTGAGATTTGATCACATGATTTTCTTACAATTAAATTTATGGAATGGGCAATGCAAATGGTTTGCCGTACTTGCAGCATTCGAGCACATGCAATCATGTTTGCTGCTGCATCAGTGACAAGACACCTGACTTTGCCTGCTATGCCCCACTCCTTCATGAGGCTCCTTTTAACTGTGGCCATGTTTTCTGCAGTGTGTTTCTGAGGGAAATGCTGCACTCCCAAGACTGATGAACAGAGTTCATGGCTTTCTTTGTCCACATAGTGGCAAGTAACGGCAAGATATGCCTCCATATTAATGGATGTCCACATATCAGCTGTTAAACTAACAGCAATGACGCTCTGGAGGTCCTTTTTTGTTTTCTCCTTTTCCTCTTCATATTTCTGGCTCACCAAGTCCTTGATGACCTACAAGTAAACATACCAATACTGTAATACCAATGTTACACACACACACACACACACACACACACACACACACACACACACACACACACACACACACACACACACCATGAAAGTAGTTGATTAATTAAAGCAAACATTTCTTAAACATACCTTCCTGCTTGGTAGAACATATGAGGGTGCAATAAGCTTCAGGAGCTCCCTGAATCCCTCATTTTCAACAATGGTGAGTGGCTGGCAGTCTTTGATGATCATTTTAACCACAGCATCATCCACTGCTTGCTTGTTAGGAACTGCAAGCCAAAAGGAAATACTTTTTTAAAAGCTTTAGAAAGCTTATGAAAAGGATTTTACAAGCAATACTACAGAGTCACACAAAGCCTTTTGTGTGTAATAGACTAATTTTGACAATTCAGATTTTTTGGTGATAATTTCAACATACCTGGGGTATCTACCAATTCATCGTTGCCATGCCGAACTCTAATGCCTCAGCATTGATGAAGTGCTCTTATTTGAGTAAGACAGCTCTGTGGAGCAGAGCCGACACTTCACCTACAATAAAATAAATAGTTAATTTATCTGAAAACAATTTAAGCCTCTTACCAGAGAAAGACTACAAACACATTTACAATACAGAAATAACAGTAAACGTTGCCAAATGGAGAAAACAATTTACCTTTTTTGGCGTCAAAAGATCAAAATTATTCCAGACTGGGGAAAACTTCTAGGAACGATCCATGAAGTCAGCGGAGAAAAGTGAGCGTGAGAGTAAGGAAAAATCCAAAATCAAACAGCAAAACTCTAACCAACAAATCCGCAACATGTCGATACAGTTTGTTTCCTTATAAACACAATTTGGCGCGGCGCATCCAAACGACACACAATCCTGTGTCGGTCACGTGATATTTTCTTAAAGCGATACACGCACCGATACGGGGTTTCACTCTTGTGCAGTCGACACTGTGCTGACGCGCCAGTGTCGTTCGTCCCATCACTAGTGGCAAGTAACGGCAAGATATGCCTCCATATTAATGGATGTCCACATATCAGCTGTTAAACTAACAGCAATGACGCTCTGGAGGTCCTTTTTTGTTTTCTCCTTTTCCTCTTCATATTTCTGGCTCACCAAGTCCTTGATGACCTACAAGTAAACATACCAATACTGTAATACCAATGTTACACACACACACACACACACACACACACACACACACACACACACACACACACACACACACACACACACCATGAAAGTAGTTGATTAATTAAAGCAAACATTTCTTAAACATACCTTCCTGCTTGGTAGAACATATGAGGGTGCAATAAGCTTCAGGAGCTCCCTGAATCCCTCATTTTCAACAATGGTGAGTGGCTGGCAGTCTTTGATGATCATTTTAACCACAGCATCATCCACTGCTTGCTTGTTAGGAACTGCAAGCCAAAAGGAAATACTTTTTTAAAAGCTTTAGAAAGCTTATGAAAAGGATTTTACAAGCAATACTACAGAGTCACACAAAGCCTTTTGTGTGTAATAGACTAATTTTGACAATTCAGATTTTTTGGTGATAATTTCAACATACCTGGGGTATCTACCAATTCATCGTTGCCATGCCGAACTCTAATGCCTCAGCATTGATGAAGTGCTCTTATTTGAGTAAGACAGCTCTGTGGAGCAGAGCCGACACTTCACCTACAATAAAATAAATAGTTAATTTATCTGAAAACAATTTAAGCCTCTTACCAGAGAAAGACTACAAACACATTTACAATACAGAAATAACAGTAAACGTTGCCAAATGGAGAAAACAATTTACCTTTTTTGGCGTCAAAAGATCAAAATTATTCCAGACTGGGGAAAACTTCTAGGAACGATCCATGAAGTCAGCGGAGAAAAGTGAGCGTGAGAGTAAGGAAAAATCCAAAATCAAACAGCAAAACTCTAACCAACAAATCCGCAACATGTCGATACAGTTTGTTTCCTTATAAACACAATTTGGCGCGGCGCATCCAAACGACACACAATCCTGTGTCGGTCACGTGATATTTTCTTAAAGCGATACACGCACCGATACGGGGTTTCACTCTTGTGCAGTCGACACTGTGCTGACGCGCCAGTGTCGTTCGTCCCATCACTAGTGGCAAGTAACGGCAAGATATGCCTCCATATTAATGGATGTCCACATATCAGCTGTTAAACTAACAGCAATGACGCTCTGGAGGTCCTTTTTTGTTTTCTCCTTTTCCTCTTCATATTTCTGGCTCACCAAGTCCTTGATGACCTACAAGTAAACATACCAATACTGTAATACCAATGTTACACACACACACACACACACACACACACACACACACACACACACACACACACACACACACACACACCATGAAAGTAGTTGATTAATTAAAGCAAACATTTCTTAAACATACCTTCCTGCTTGGTAGAACATATGAGGGTGCAATAAGCTTCAGGAGCTCCCTGAATCCCTCATTTTCAACAATGGTGAGTGGCTGGCAGTCTTTGATGATCATTTTAACCACAGCATCATCCACTGCTTGCTTGTTAGGAACTGCAAGCCAAAAGGAAATACTTTTTTAAAAGCTTTAGAAAGCTTATGAAAAGGATTTTACAAGCAATACTACAGAGTCACACAAAGCCTTTTGTGTGTAATAGACTAATTTTGACAATTCAGATTTTTTGGTGATAATTTCAACATACCTGGGGTATCTACCAATTCATCGTTGCCATGCCGAACTCTAATGCCTCAGCATTGATGAAGTGCTCTTATTTGAGTAAGACAGCTCTGTGGAGCAGAGCCGACACTTCACCTACAATAAAATAAATAGTTAATTTATCTGAAAACAATTTAAGCCTCTTACCAGAGAAAGACTACAAACACATTTACAATACAGAAATAACAGTAAACGTTGCCAAATGGAGAAAACAATTTACCTTTTTTGGCGTCAAAAGATCAAAATTATTCCAGACTGGGGAAAACTTCTAGGAACGATCCATGAAGTCAGCGGAGAAAAGTGAGCGTGAGAGTAAGGAAAAATCCAAAATCAAACAGCAAAACTCTAACCAACAAATCCGCAACATGTCGATACAGTTTGTTTCCTTATAAACACAATTTGGCGCGGCGCATCCAAACGACACACAATCCTGTGTCGGTCACGTGATATTTTCTTAAAGCGATACACGCACCGATACGGGGTTTCACTCTTGTGCAGTCGACACTGTGCTGACGCGCCAGTGTCGTTCGTCCCATCACTAGTGGCAAGTAACGGCAAGATATGCCTCCATATTAATGGATGTCCACATATCAGCTGTTAAACTAACAGCAATGACGCTCTGGAGGTCCTTTTTTGTTTTCTCCTTTTCCTCTTCATATTTCTGGCTCACCAAGTCCTTGATGACCTACAAGTAAACATACCAATACTGTAATACCAATGTTACACACACACACACACACACACACACACACACACACACACACACACACACACACACACACACCATGAAAGTAGTTGATTAATTAAAGCAAACATTTCTTAAACATACCTTCCTGCTTGGTAGAACATATGAGGGTGCAATAAGCTTCAGGAGCTCCCTGAATCCCTCATTTTCAACAATGGTGAGTGGCTGGCAGTCTTTGATGATCATTTTAACCACAGCATCATCCACTGCTTGCTTGTTAGGAACTGCAAGCCAAAAGGAAATACTTTTTTAAAAGCTTTAGAAAGCTTATGAAAAGGATTTTACAAGCAATACTACAGAGTCACACAAAGCCTTTTGTGTGTAATAGACTAATTTTGACAATTCAGATTTTTTGGTGATAATTTCAACATACCTGGGGTATCTACCAATTCATCGTTGCCATGCCGAACTCTAATGCCTCAGCATTGATGAAGTGCTCTTATTTGAGTAAGACAGCTCTGTGGAGCAGAGCCGACACTTCACCTACAATAAAATAAATAGTTAATTTATCTGAAAACAATTTAAGCCTCTTACCAGAGAAAGACTACAAACACATTTACAATACAGAAATAACAGTAAACGTTGCCAAATGGAGAAAACAATTTACCTTTTTTGGCGTCAAAAGATCAAAATTATTCCAGACTGGGGAAAACTTCTAGGAACGATCCATGAAGTCAGCGGAGAAAAGTGAGCGTGAGAGTAAGGAAAAATCCAAAATCAAACAGCAAAACTCTAACCAACAAATCCGCAACATGTCGATACAGTTTGTTTCCTTATAAACACAATTTGGCGCGGCGCATCCAAACGACACACAATCCTGTGTCGGTCACGTGATATTTTCTTAAAGCGATACACGCACCGATACGGGGTTTCACTCTTGTGCAGTCGACACTGTGCTGACGCGCCAGTGTCGTTCGTCCCATCACTACTGAACGTGACAATGGTGGAATTCACAGTTGGCTGATACACTTGTTCGAAGGTGTCAACAAGTAAACAGTGTCACACGGAGCTTGTTTTTAAACCACAGAGGCTTTTTTCAAAACAGCCTCCAACGACCAATTAAAGTGTCTCGGTCTGGAGGAGGGTGGTGAGGCCAGACCAGAGAGCTGCTTTTAGGGCTTGCTCTGGAATCAGAGTGGAAATGTAACCAGTTTGACCAATCACAGCCAGCACGTAGACAGGTGTAGTGTCAGGATGTGTTCCTGCAGCCTCTTGTGTCTCGTCTCCCCTCGTTACCGTACTCACCTGTTTCCCTGATTTTAACCCTCATGAGTTTTAACCCTCTGTTTGTGCTCGCCTGTGTCAGATCCATGTTTTGTCTTCCCGTCGTGTCATCATACCGACCAATATTCAAATTAAACTTCATCTTAAAACCTGCTTCCTTAGGTCCATGTTCATCTCCACTTCATGACATGTAGGAGTGTTGTTTTTCCATTGAGTAAGAATGCTTTTTGTTTTTTTATGATCATGCATGACCTTAAGCATTTATTTCAGTTTCACTGAGAGTGAAACTCAGCCTTTATCAAAAAAAAATAGGTTAGAAATATGGGTTCATAGGAAAATGCATTATTTTACTGTTTAAGTGGAAGATAATACACTCACCAGAAGGTGCATAGCAAAATGAAAGATTTTTAAGTCCATAAGTTATTCAGTCTTTTTTTTGTAAAAGCCAGAAAATGGGGGGGGGGGGGGGGGGGGGGCTTTATTTATTAGCCTAGTCATGATCTATTATGTTCTCATCAGCACATTATAAGGCAACATCACATGTTAATAATTCATACCACTGTTTATTCACAAAAGCAGACTCACTTTTTGGCAGGAAATGGACAACTTTTGCTATTTTATTTAATATTGCACAACCTGTTAATAACGTATGAAATGTTTCCAGCTTGATATCATCTGCTCATTAACAATGGTCTATTAAAATGTGGCAACAAAAAATAAAAGCTTTAATAAAGCAGTGTTGACTACAAAGTTAGAGTCCAATTATGGAGGGAAACTCAGCCACAGGACAGCTCAGTGAAGAGGTCCGTGAAATAAATCAGTAATAAGCAAAACACCTGGAGTTAAAACAACAATGATTTGTTGAGAAAAGCTTGCAGAAGATGATGAAAAGAAAACACCTCGGAATAAGAATGATCTTGATTCTGGAACGCTAACACTAACGCTATCGTTTTAAACCAAGCTGTTGCCTAAAGCTCTGGATGAAATTTCCCCAGAAGATTGTTGAGAGGCTCCAAGCCTTTACTTGCATGCACAATGGATAAAGTTTTTAGTCTTTTCAGTTTTGGACTAAATAAAGGAAAATAAAATTCCAAATTAACTTTAATGGTTTAAACAGATTTTATAAACTGAGTGAGCATAAACCTCAACATGTCTAAGCTCTGCACTGTAAATAAAGCCATATTAATAATGAATGCACAATACATGATATTTTCTTGTAATATTTTTCCACAGGTCATACTGTTATTGGACAGTTTGTCCCAAATGGTAATTTAAAATGCTGCGATTTAGCTCAGTAATGATGGGGCTAAAGGGCAGCTGCGGTATGCATCTGAGCCCATCACATAGATTAATTACAAACATTAACGGCATTGTGATGTTTTGTTTTCTAGTTTTGATCTTTCACAGACAGAGATCAAACTGGTTAATGAGAAATAATAGGCAGATTCTAATCCAGGTTTTATAAAGAGCGTTAAAAGGGTTTCCTCATTAAAACATAAACATTCACTTATTGTTTGTATTCCATACAGTTGCATTCTGTATGGTTTTATTTTCCCAGTTCAACGCAGAACACACCATTTTTATTATTTCTTAGTAAAACAATGTGTATTAAATATTTGCTATTGTCTGCATAAAGTAAATAAAACACACTTGTGATGTTTTTGTAGCACCTTCTCTCTAAATAAACTGAAAGTGATGTTCAGGATAAACAACATTTTTCCTGCTGTTCTGTTGACGTATTTGTTGACTTTTTAAAAAATGCATAATATTGCAGATGAGGCTTAAGAACTATTGCACGCGTTGGCCTCTTTGGTCATGGTTGATGCAGAAGCGAGTCATCCGAGCAGCATCAAGGCTCTGCAGAAGAAGCTGCTCATGCTGTGGTGGTGCTGGTATGAACGTGAGACATTTGGCGTGATTGCTTTGAGATGCACTACTCGAGTCACTTTCTCTTTTGTGTCACTCAGAACAATAAGAACAAAGTAGCCGGTGTGGCTTTGCACTCCAAGCGTCTCTTGGAAGGAAAATATTGATTGCCGTATCAAGTAAATACAGAACTTTTGATTTGCTGATAGGTTAAATCTGTGTTTTTTCACTCGTTTGTCATAAATAGCATTTTCCTTCCCCTTGTGTGTGTTTCCTTGTCTTTTATATTCCGCTTGCTTGTGACTGATGGAAGCTGAAAACAGTGATTATTGTCGACCTGTGCAGGATAAACTCGTGTCCTTCATAGAAGGAGTCTGCGTCTTGATTGTGAGAACACTTTTCACCACTCTGCGTGAGATCACCTGTGGGTGACACCCGTAGTTAAACGCTGTGATATAGCTTCATGAAGCTTGCGTGTGTAGAAGAGCCAGCCTTTTGTTATTTCAAGTAAAAAACAGGAGCTTCTCTGTTAAAAGTCAACAGAAGTATAAATAAGGAAGATGGTGCTTCATAAAAAAGACTTTTCACACCCTTTCTTTTGGACGCCCAAGCTGAAGCATGCCACGGCTTAACAGACGTTTCTATTATAGCAGGTGTCAGCAGAACAGCGATTCTCAAGACGGAAACACACAGTCTCTGTATCACCCGACAGAACGGAAGAGCGCTTTGTTCTAAACTTTGCTGCCCTTAATAATTCAAAGCGTTCTGAACTTTACAGTTTGGCAAACACGATCCTCGCTGAGCAAGAAGGCAACGCCGGACTCATCGGTGATGTTTTAGGCTGAGTACAAGGGCAACTGGCACCTGTCTGGTACACAATTAAGAAATTGTAGCTTTTATTATTTAGTTTTTTTCACTCATGCACAAATGTCCCTGTGCCAAACAAAGCCCTTGTGTCTCAGAGTTTAATGGCTAAAAGTCCACAGAAAACTTCAGCTCACTTTCTGGAGTTATGAAAGAGTTCAGCTCTGCAGAGGAAGAGCTGATAGGGATGTTAATATGAAGTCATGCCGAGCGAGGTGGTGCTTATTTATTGTTTGGAGGTACAACTTATTATTATCATGAATAGTTTTCTTAACAAAACTTTTGTCTGCAGAAATAATTTTAGAGTTGATTAAAATGAGCTTATTTGCGATCTGTCATAAAAGCCAATCAAGTCTATTTAGGATGTTTGACAGCATCCAGTGTTCCCATCGAAACACTTCCCTCATTAGTGTCTCCACTTCGCCTGAACTTTTCTCAAGCCTGATTCCCTTTCCCCCTCTTTCTTCCTCTCTTTACCAATATGCTGACCTTTGAGTAGTTCCCTGTGGCGGAGTGTTAACCGAGCGCAGAGGTACTATCCTCTCTCCTGGGTACCCCGAGCCGTACTCCAACTATCTGAACTGTGCCTGGAGAATCTCCGTCCCCGAAGGAGCCGGCATTCAGGTGAGACCGTCATGAGAGCATAACGTTTGTTTATTCTGGCAGGATTCACTATTTAAGTCATTTCCTGTTGGTGGTACGGTTTCATTGGAGCTTTTAATTTGTTTTCCCTTTCAGATTCAAGTGGTGACCTTTGCTACAGAGCACAACTGGGACTCTCTGGATTTTTTTGACGGGGTTGACGGCAATGCTCCGAGGCTCGGCAGCTACTCAGGTAAATCTGATCTAACACTATTTGAGATGTTGGCTCCCAGTTGAATTCCAGTCAGATGTCATGAGGCTCCAGCTGCAGACAGATGTGGTGATGGGGCTGATGACATTTGGCATGTCCCTTGAGAAGGTTGTGTAAAAACCAGTTTGAGATGTCGAAGAGAAAAGAAAAAAAACTCCTACTTCCTCACACAATTCTCAGGTCTTTTCATTTTGCAGCATCGCTATAGAGCTCACGTTAATGAAAACGGGAAACGTGCCACATGGTAACCCACAGGAATCTGGCTATCTCATTATTTTAGATGCACAATCCTAATATGAGAAGGACCAGTGTAGCGTAATGACTTCTGCTGCAATATCAGCTTTACGAGATGAGCTGTCAACATTTTCCAGAGGTGAATATCTCATTTTAGAACAAAGCTCTTGAATGGTAAAATAGTTCCTCTGTACAGCTTCAGCCGTGAGGAGCTGAAACATAAAAAGACGGATCACATTTAGCTTTAGCCTGGACTGAACCGATACAGATTATTGTTACTATTGTGAATCCTTTTGCAAATGTCCAAAGATGAATACCTGCATTTAGTCCTAGTGTTTCCATATACACACTATACTGTAAACAGTGGTTGTACGTCCAGGTTTCTATCTTTCTTTAAATGGTCCGAAGTTCTAAAGGAGGGCTTTTTTTCTAAGTAATTTTCTTATTTGAGTAATGTTTGGAAACTGGTTTGCTGTTGGAAAGATATGGAAAATTATTATGTTGCTTGTTTGCTTTTTCAACAACCTCAAAATAAACAGAATATTTCTGACTGGATGTAGAAGCTAATGCAGCGGTGGGTAACTGTGTCCCCAAAGGGGCATACTTGATGTGATGGTGTGTATTTACCCTGGCGATAGAGGGCAGTACATACCTAAATCATTAGAGGCAAGCAGTATTTTCATGTTTGAGTAAGACCTTACCAACCATCAGGGTCAAAAATCCCTGGGAGTGCAACCTCCAGCAAAATGCCAAGCGCATCAGATTCTCTTTCATCACTGGCAACAAGCAAAGAAGTAAATGTGTAACACAACAACGTTTATGAATGACGAAAGTTTGGTAACTGTTTGATACAAATCAGCAAAAGTGTTTTGTCCTCACGGGCTCCCGTCAAAGGCTATATGGCATCGCCCTGAGCCTCCCATGTATTTTAGATACGATTTTTATGGTTATATGCTACAAAGCCACCAATATTTTCCAGCATTTGGTCATCATTTAATTCACTTTCAACAACATTTTGATCAAAATTACACATTGTCTCTTTAATATACCTAACACCAAAAGTAAAGATGATTGTGTTTGGTGAATTATTTCTGTATTGTTACAACTCTTCTTCTGACACTTCTGGAAGGCTGGTTGTTCACTTGTTTACTGCCAGCCGCTTCCTGATCGCTAAAGGCCTTCGCCTTCCAGCGTTTCTCACCGTGTTTACTATTTTTCAAGAGTCACAGAACGTTGCGCGCTAGGATGATGTTGACACCAAAACAACCAAAACAGAGCGGAGTCTCACCTCTTGCATCAGGAAGATCCTGCACATTTCAAGCTTTATCCGTTCTTTCATAATCTGTTGAATTGTGATTGACAGAAGCTTTTCCGGTTCGCTCCTCACTTTTTCTACGGCAGTGGCCCAAAACGATCTCTTAACACATGGATTTTCTGCTTCCTGATCACGTGACGTGTGATGTATGCAGATGAAGATCAGCTTTAGAGCTGAATTGTTTGTTCTCACGGTGCGGGGGCTCGTTCCGATGCCCCACACAGTAAAAAAATGCAAATGTCGTCATTGGCAGGGAACGGTTGGATAACGGTTGGATTTAAAATGACGACTTTAGTCGTCAATGGCAGTGAATGAGTTCAACTGCCTCCATGGATTCATTGATGCTTTTTCATGGAGCTCTACCAACACTTTTAGCTGTGTTAAAGGGGTCCTAGAATCAACCAAACTGTATTCATACCCGAGCTGAACTTAACAAGATGTTGTGAGCTATGAAACCTTCTGGCTCCCCTGATGTCATCTTACCAGCTAGGCTCCTAAATGAAATATTTTCCATACTAATTGTACATATTCTAAATAGGAGCTCATCATTGAGTGTTTAAACACGTTGTTGTGCATCCTCTCCTAGATTGATCAGTATTAGCCTGTTACAGGCCTTTCTCAAAAAGGCTTTTTGTCAAAACTGCTTGAGAATATTGTGCCAGAGACAATGTCATCGCAGGCTTCAGATTTGTGACTAACAGGTCACTGGGTATTGTAGTGACCTCTGATCTTTACTCAATCACATATTTTCATTGTGTCTGTTGAAATAATAATTTCATTATCATCTGTTGAAATAATTTGAAAACAGAACCATCAATGTGATTTTCTGCAAAATTCAGAAAATGAGTGTTTGATCATTATTTATCAATCCAGGGTTATCTTAGGGAAAGTTTAATGCACAGGGGGTCAATTTGTACCTAACAATGAGGATTAGACAGTCTTAGAAAATAAACCCACAGCATTTATCAGAAAATTATTAGATATCATCATTGAATTATTATAAATTACTATGAAACACCAGAATACATATGAAAGTATTTCTAAATGTTGTAATGGTTCATGAGGGGTTATTGTGAGAAAGGTTACAAGTGGCTGAAACTGAAGAGTGAAACTGAAAGTTGGAGATGCGGGTTTATCTTAGCTGTATGTTAAACTACTCCAATAAACCGCTGTTGAGGACAAATGTCATTCTGTCTTTTGTTTTAGTTAAGCACAAACATCACAACAATAAGAAATGGTCTTGTTGCCTTGCGTTTGTAATGCTGCTTGAAGCTTCCGGTGCACGCGCACCGTGCACAGATCTATTAAAAGTTCAGAAGAAGCGCTCCTGCAGGCAGCTGCTGCAGAGACCAGAGAAGATCTCTGATGGATCAGTGAGAAAAAAATTAAATGTGTCACGGAATCCGAGCAAATTGTCAACAGTCATTTAGTGTTTTCTGGAGGTTTATTTTATTTTGGCACGTCGGTCATGATGTCCGACGATTTAAGGTTTTTCGTCTGACAATATTAAAACACGTTGGTAATGTTGACGTGTTTTTGCAAGCACTGGGATTTAAGGGAGCAGCTCTTGAATGGTGAGGTGTTATTTTTCTGGGAGGGGCTTCTCTTCAAGTACAGACCTTTTGCTGGGGGGGGGGGGGGGGGGGTACCACAAGGATCTGCTCTTAGTCCCCTTTTCTCCATTTATTTTCTTCATCATGGAGCACCTTTTTCAAAAACACTGAATGTTTTTGTGCATTTTCTCTTGAGGCTCCAGCCTTGTGGAATGAGTTGCCTTTTGAACATTAGACAGGCACCTACTCTCGCAACTTTTAAATAAAGATTAAAAGCCCATTATTCTCCTTTAGCTTTTGATGAAGTCTGAACATGCCATTTGTAATTGCTTTAACGGACCTTTTATTGTGCTACATTTCATTTAATTTCTTTCTTTCTTTTATTTATTTATTTTTTTTAACTGTTTTTAGCTTTACTGTTTCTTATTTAGATTTTACTGTGATTTCATGCATGTGTGTCCAGCCCTTTGGTCCCAATCAGTGGACTAAAATTCACTTGACTTGTTGTTGTTTAGCATAGGCACCGTGACGTGTCTAATGCAACAGCAAATCAGTGCTGTGATGGACTTGCTTTCCTCTGTAAGGTAGTGATGCTCTAATGTCCCAGAGAAACGGTTCATTCGTAGAAAAGCTAGTTTAACACACCATCATCTTAGACACACACCATTACATTTGCATGTACCAAGTTGGGTCCCATCAGCAATATATGAATGTTGTTGACGCTAACAGCAGAATGAAGCAAGACCAAGCTACTGCCATTGTTAGCCCGAGCTATTGCGCTAGCCTGAGTTGCCAATGTCCATGTTGGACCTACTGGGAATTCTAGACTGAATGCTAGTTAGATCCACAGCTTGTGGTCCTGCCTTGTTCTCTTCCTTGTTCGTCCACAATGCTAGAACACTGTAGAAAGTTTGATGTTAAAATATTAAGTGAACAAAGCCGTGTTGTTATATATATTTTGAACCTGAGCTGGGGCAATGGTAGTAACATCTTCTAAAATACATTTCCTGTACCATTTACCACAGGCACAACCATCCCCCAGCTGCTGAACAGCACATCCAATAACCTGTTCCTGACCTTCCAGTCTGACATCAGTGTTTCCTCGGCTGGTTTCCACTTGGAGTACACAGGTATGAGAGATGGCGTGTCGTTTCGCCAGTCACTTTGTCTTTGTCCATCTGCCAGTGACTTCCAGCTGCTGCATGGGGATAAAATAAATAAGAGAAGCAGCTGGTGTGGAAAGCACAGTTGGCCCGAGAATGAAATGTATGGTGGAAGTGAGGGAGGGAGGTCTTTATCTTTTCATTTTCAGACCTGATATCTGCACTTTCAGATGCTAGCTTGGTAATCCCTGGTGTTTGCTTTTCAAATTCTTGCATAGCTTCAAGTTCCTGTACCCACATCTACTTACATTTATTTTAAGGCCTGAACTTGCTCATCTCTCTGTGGGGTTTTCACTTAGAGGCTTACTTGCCGAGGAGTGTGCATTAACATTTATTGTGCCCCAACGTTTAAAGAATGAGGCTGCCCCTGTGGACCGACTAATTTCCTAAGCCCTCCCAGTCAAAAATACTTGTGCATATTAAAATAGGAGAGATTCTTAACAAAGGAGTCCACTGTTATTGGCAGTCCTCTTGTGCTTTTGTCTCTCTGAAAGATTTTAGATACATTTATCAGCTTTCTGTGTCTGCCATTCTTCACAAACGCTGGCCGGATAAATAAAAGGCAATTCCTGAATCTTCTGAAAACTCCCACTTTTTTATGGCTTTTCAGATGTAATTTTTATATCTGGTGGTGAGCTGGCAGCTTTTTAGGAAATATTAGTAAATATCTGTTGGTGTGATCAAGGCATGTTCGTTCCAACTGGAGCCTTTGATTGGACATTAGATTCATAACCTTATGAGCATGTCACAAACTCATTTTTGTGCATTTTCTAATTTTTATATATTCATTTTTAACTTGTCACCATGAAATTAGTTCCCATAAAAGGTACAAATGGTGATCTTTGCAATTAACATCAGAATTTGGCAAGGAGGGTAATTAAATGAATTATGCAGCCTTATTTAATAAGCATTTTAATATGCACTTGACTGCCAATTTTTGCATTATTTACCTCTTTACAAATAGATTTTCCTGATTTTGGCACCTGCTGCAGCTACACTGCTGCTCTGAGGACCTACAAGTGTTGCCAGCTGCAGGATCTTGTTTATAAATTTAAATATTATTGTATTTTTTATTAAATTGGGACAGAATTTCAGAAATGCATAACCAGAACAAAAGAAAACAACAACCGTAAACCTGGAACCGTTTTTTTTTTCAGGATCATTGCGACACCAGTTTAATCTTTTGTAGCTTTATTATTTTTTAATTCTTTCTTTGTTTGTTTGTTTTGTTCTAATGGGCCCACAGTTATCTGCTGCCAGGATGATATTCTCACCTACGCGGTCTCCAAGCGAAGGGGACATCTAATGCTGTGTTTAGCGAGGGCGCATTAACACAAAACATGTTTTAATTAAAGCCGTGAACAGAAACCTGGAGTTGGTCAGCAGACTGTTGTCATTGTTGGCTGTTAGGAAAAGTGTGAAATGTTTTCCTTATTTTTATTATTTGGCTCTAATTGTTCTTTCTCACGTACACACCATGGGTGCTAGCTCTTCCATAATCTCATAAAAGAAAGGAAAATTAGATTTTCTTCTCATTTAACGGGAGTGGGATATTTATGTTAAGAATATAAATATTTTCTCTATAAGATACTTTTTGGCTTCTAGCATCATCGTCACAGCGTTGGCAGTCAAAAACCTGAGTGCTTCAGACCAGCAAGGTGCCAATATTTCAGCTTTACGAGGTTTCTCACTTTTGCTGAGCACAAGATGTTAAAAAGCAACCAGATGCTACTGATCCCACTAACTCCTGTGGAAGCAAACAGGATGTTTATGCATTTCATGAACATCTTGACTGATATTGCATTGAATAAAAATGACATGTTAAACACATCCTATGCTGTTCTCAAAATGTTATGTAATTAGAAGACTTGGTGAGTGTTGGATTAGTTGGGCTAAAATAGTGGTAATAATAATAATAATAATACAAAATTAATTAATAAATCAATGATGATGATAATAATCATGTCAGAAGCATCTTTCAGGAAACGTGTTTAACACACAAACACACACACACACACACACACACACACACACACACACACATCAAAATCAAATAAATGCATCAGAATTAAAGAAAATGTAAAACATTGTAGTTAAAGGTTGCACAACTCTGATGTAGCCCTAACTCGCTATTTTTCCACTCGTTTGCTTTATGGAACCATTTCTTTGTTTTTGTTTGTTTCCACCGATAATGCTCTGAATACTGAGCATGGGCGGAAAACACAGAAACAACAGGATCTGGCTCAGACCCAACCATCTGTTTTAACATTTCTGTCTGTGGGTGAAGTCCACTGAGAACGGTCACAGGAATCCTGTCTGCCTCCCATCAGCACATCATCCTGGGAGCTAGCTCTCCTCAGACAGACAGCGTGCTATAGTTGGAAACAGCACCGGCACTATGGCTGCTGCATCACAAACAAAGCAGTCATTTACTTTCCATAGTGCACTCTGTTTTTCTCTCCCCTTCCAGCAACTACGATAACGAATTGAATTAATTGATGAGAGCTTGTGAGGACTTTGATCCTCTGAGTTTGCCCAAAATGTTTTAAGCCACCCTCTAAAATCAGCAATACTTCACCGAGAGGATAAAATGATTACAAGGCTAATTTAAAGCTGTGAGCAGGTCACTTCATTTTTAAAATTATTTATTGAAGAAAAAAACATTTGCATGCACCCAAACTGTCCACACTTTGGGATTTCCTGCTAATTAAACTGGGTTAAAATCCTCCACTTCCTGTTTGTTCTGTCACCATTTTGCACGCAGCTGTTGAGGCATGTTCTTCCTACACGTCAGCATGTATTATTAGCTCCTAGATTTTCTGTTTTTGCTTTGATTCAAAGCCACTAATAAAAGCACTTTCATCTGGTTACAAGTCTTTGTGATTGCTCTATAGCCTCTGTTTTGATCTCCTGTCTCCAGCTGGATGAGATAACTGGCTCTGGTAAGCAGGAGCGGATGCACATCAACAACTGGAGTTCATTTTTTGTTGGGCTCTTTTTGTCCTTAAGATGACTGCTTGAGTTTCCACATGCTTTGGTTTCCTAATTTCATCTTTCCACCTCATCTGTGCTATTTTTATCCATCTAAAACTAAACAAAATGCTAGTATTTTAATCTGCACAGGAGTGGTGCCCCAAACAGATGCAGCTACTGCTTTCACTCTGGAATACGAGTTTGTTGCTTTTATACTGGATTTTCAGTGCTTTCAGTTCTGAATCACTAATTACTTGTGCTAAAATTTTAGTCAGTCACTCCTTTCTTGTTCAATTATTTTAAACCATCCATGCTTTGAGGACTGCCTGCAGCTTTTCAAGCCAAACTTCTGAACAGAAGCTTGGTTGGGAGAGGATGGCGTTATCTTTGTCTTAGTCTGAATGGCTTCATTCATGATCTCACCCAACTTCATAGATGTTATGTAATCAGGTAAAACTCCAAATATGGGTTGTAAGTGATGTTCAGTTTTTTCCACATGAAGTGGAGCTCCATAATGTTGACTGAGCTACGTCCATTTTTGTGCTTTCTTAGTTTAATTAGCTATGGTGGTCATCTTACGTGAGTTGATTGTTAAAGTTAATCAGGAAACGACATCCAATGAAGTTGACTCTGAAAGTTCATCAGTTTTACGTGCAGAATTGATTCAAAGATGATTTCCTGAGCGTTTTATTAAACTTGTGCTTTATTTCAGCAATGAAATTTGCTAACATTCACACAGAACTTAGTAAATCGTCGTCGTCTTCCTCCGCTTATCCGGGTCCGGGTTGCGGGGCAGCATCCCAACTAGGGAGCTTCAGACCGTCCTCTCCCCAGCTTTCTCCACCAGCTCCTCCGGCAGGACCCCAAGGCGTTCCCGGACCAGATTGGAGATGTAACCTCTCCAACGTGTCCTGGGTCGACCCGGGGGCCTCCTGCCGGCAGGACATGCCCGAAACATCTCCCCGGGGAGGCGTCCAGGAGGCATCCTGACCAGATGCCCAAACCACCTCATTTGGCTCCTTTCGATCCGGAGGAGCAGCGGTTCTACTCCAAGTCCCTCCCGAATGTCCGAGCTCCTCACCCTATCTCTAAGGCTGAGCCCGGCCACCGTACGGAGGAAACTCATTTTGGCCACTTGTATCCGCGATCTCGTTCTTTCGGTCATTACCCAAAGCTCATGACCATAGGTGAGGATTGGGACATAGATCAACCGGTAAATCGAGAGCCTGGCTTTCTGGCTCAGCTCCCTCTTCACCACGACAGATCGGCTCAGCGTCCGCATCACTGCAGACGCTGAACCAATCCGCCTGTCGATCTCCCGATCCCTCCTACCCTCACTTGTGAACAAGACCCCGAGATACTTAAACTCCTCCACTTGAGTACACTTAGTAAATGTCCATTTTAAAGAGCAGCAGGGGTATATATTCTCTCCAGGTGTATGTTCGTTGTTGTGGATGTCGAGTAAATGGGTACAAGTTCAGTAATGGTTAAAACATGTAATCTCAGTATATTTTAGTCATCTGTAAACTGTATGAGGTCAACACCGTTCCTTATGCTTTTATCTCCAGTTATTGAAATACATCCTAAGAGTGGAGTGAGATCCAGGGAAAACCTTTGACAATGTGGAAGTGTGTGGAAGTCTTGTTATGTAAGAGGAACTATAGAAGCTGCTGAGGTGGCAGCCTGCCGACCGAGTGAGGAATCTGGTCAACCAAGCCGCTAACTGGGAATGGCTTCGAGCTAACCCTCACAAAACGACTCTTCCATCATATTCCTGCCAACGTTTGTCCCTCAGATGACAAGATGGATTATTACAGCTGGGATGTCCGGCATGGAGTCGGAATTTTTGACTCAGTTGAAGCGACGACATCTTTCTGGGTGGACAGAGAGAAAGCTGTGCTACAAAACCCGAGTGTCCATGGATGTCCCGGCTAATAATGGAGTGAAGAGGAAATGTCAAAATCTACTTTCTTCTGAATTTAGCATACCCACAA